TTATCTCAAAAATGGCCACACCGATTTGAAAAAATTACAAGCCATCTGATGTAATTCGATAAGGACTCGAATACAACAGTTTATTGAAATATAAATTAAAAAAATATTGAAATTTAAATAATTATATATATCATAAATTTGTTTGCTGTATTGATTACCGTTTACAAACATATATAAATATTCGGATTTCATATTAATTCATTATATTAATTATATTTTTAAAAAATCTAATATCAGCGTTATTTATTTTTTCATTTTCTTAAAAAATAATTTTGTCATTTTGAATCGATTGAATACGTTAAAGTATGTGTGTGCAAAAGTAAATGTGTAAATTTTGCTCTTTCGTTCGTTTTCTCAAAAACGGCTGTACCGATTTTAAAAATAAATAACCTATTTGATGTAACTCGATAAGGATTCGCATTGCTTAATTTTTCGCAAAAATCGGTTGAGCCGTTTTTGTAGAATTAGCAAAAAAGTGTAAAATATTTCATCTACGTTAACTCAAAAACGGCTGCATCGAATTAAAAAAATTATACGCAATTTGATATAATTTGATAAGCACTCGCATTGATTAGTTTTACACAAAGATTGGTTGAGCCGTTTCTTTAGAATTACTAGAGAGATTACATAAAATTTTTTGAATCGATTTTAAATAATCAAAAACTGTACGAAAGATATCGTGTTGATTAGTTTTTTTGTAAAGATCGGAGAAGCCGTTTCTTCGTAATTATTATTATTTTTATTTTGACATTAATGAAACTACATGGCCATAGAGTTGCCGATCTAACTCTGCGCCCATCGTGCATAATCCTTTTTGTGCCTACTGATCACCGTTGGCGTCCAAAGTTAAATAAAATACTCTTATATTACCTAAGTATAATGAAATTTATTAATGAGTTAGATTAAAGGATATCACTTGAATTTGTGATAGTTGGAAATTTTATTGCCACAATTTGAAAAGTTGCTAATTTTCAATTGTTATTTCGACTATTCAAAGATATCGGAGAGTTAATGCAACTTGTTTTAAGGCAAATGCCACTTACAACTAATATTTTTCAGGGATACAAATCAGTACTAATTTTTCCAAATTTCCTTGTTTTTGATATTATCTGTAAATGGTAATCAGTACTCATAATTTCTTTTCAGGCAAATCAAAATCAACGCAAATTCTTGCAATTTATACAAACGAGATGTGCAATGGGCACAACTGCATCAAAATTAATTGTGCAATGTGAAGAATGCCTACTATTAGAGGCCAATAGAGTCAAGAAAAGTTCTCTAATTAATAATTAACTTTTGTGCTTAATGTGGTTTAATGTAGCACAGTATGACGATGCAAGGATGAAATCGATACTTGTAGGCAAAAATAAATAGAACCTTCGTAAGGGACATACATAGTTCATTTAGTTTGCGCAATATACACATTAACCTCTGAATTTTTTTACTGTGCTCCGATTTGCATGAAATTCAAAAATAATGAGTTTTGAACTTGAGGGTAAGATAAGTCTAATTCCAAAATTTCAAACAAATAGAAGCACAGTAAAAAAATTCAGATCCAAAACGTTCCATTGACTGGAATATTATAACCAGTATAATTCATGTTTAATTCAAACTAGTATTAAGTAACTTTAGTGCTACAATTTTATTTATTTAAGACAATGTTTTTCATGAGAATTCCCAAAATCTCATTCGGTTGACTAGCGCTCCAACACTACAGTACTAAACATGACCAACCTGTTCTAAACCTAAGGCTCCTTTCACACTGTATGACTCATTACGCTGATAGACAGTTTGGCACTTAAATTGTGTTTTTGGCATTCATGTATGTTATCTGCAAAACATATGCTGTTGGCAGGAGATATCGCATACCATTACTATCATTTTTTGCAATTATTAAGAAGTGAGCTATTTTAGAAAGTAATCAAAAATAATGACAAATAGATAAATTTAGATTAGATTATTATTTTGACTCTTTGATTGCTAATATAATGTGAAACAATATATATTTTAAACTTCCCATAGGGTAAATTATAGTAATGGGCCGAAAATCTGAAATAAATTTTTTTGCATATCTTCACGTTTCAGAGGTTTCTGAACATTTTGGCATACCTCAGAAAAAATGGATGTGTGTGTGTGTTTTGTGTGTCCGCATTTTCTCGTCCAAGTTTTCGGGCGCACGGATCAACCAATTTGAATGGTTCAAAAAATATTCGATTCCTATTGATAGGGAGGTGTACTGATTGGTTTTTAGCAAAGGCAGGTCTAGCCGTTACGGAGATACGGAGCAAACAGTGCAAAATACAGAAATCGAGTTTTTGAGAGAACAAAGTACCCGATTTAAATTATCCAAAAAACATTCAATTTGTAATGATTAGAAGAAGTAGTAATTAGTTTTTGGCAAAGGCAGGTCCAGCCATTTTGAAGATACAGAGCTAAATGTACAAAAAATGGTAGTTTTTGAGAGAACTAAGCATTCCATTTGCATGATTCAGAAAACTTTCTGCTTGTGTTGACAAAACAAATGCTTTTGGAAAGAAAAATTATCTAATTTTTTTTTGTGTATCGAAAATAATTCAGATTTTAATTTTAATTCTGGCTAAAGTTCTAAAGCTCACTTATATACTTTAATAAAACAATTTTAACTTTGTAATTTAGTTTATTAATTAGTATTTATAACAATCTATTTGAAAACATTTAACATTTCTCGAACATTTCGTTACGGTACGGGAAGTTCTAGCAATTTGCTTAAAGGCACGATGCCATACACTACTAGTTTTATCTATTTTTTTTAAACAAGACTAGACTGCATGGCATTGCATTAATTATGCATTTACTTAACCCGTCATAGTGGTTTCATTATTGATTTCTTTGAGAACACACATGACTTAATTTCGACATGAAAAACATGATTTATATTACTAACTATAAAACGTTTACATTAAATTTTCTCTTATTATTATATATATTATATTTAGTATTTGTTAACAGTAAATATTCAAATAAAGAAAAAAAACTGATGCAAGGCAAAAATTATCTCTCCATATTTAACAATGTTTATAATTTCAGATTTCTATATTTTTACTTAGAGTACAAAAACCGAATAAAAAGTCTTAACTATACATCATCTGACAATAATAAAAAATAAAATAACGAAAAATTTAATTGTTTTTCCCATTTCCATCTTAAAATGTTTTTTGCGATATTTTCCTAAGCATTAATCTATACTCCAATAACCCAGTATTAAACTCCAGTGCAGCAAATCGCAAGGGTCATTTTAAATAATTTAAAAATAAAGATTGGATCCAAAACGAAAGATTATTATATATATATATATATATATATATATATTTACAGTCTATAAGAGAATGCACCAGCATATTTGTAATGCCAAAACTCCAAATCAGTATAAGACTATGTTTTCGGAACATGTTACTAGTTTAAACCATACTTTCAATACCAAAAATCCTATTATTTTACATAAGGAAGAGAATGGTGAACTCAGAAAATTTGCTGAATTTGTATTTATCTTTTTAAACCCCCTTTGCGTTAATAAACAAAATTCTGCTCTGTATTAATATCAAAAAGAAGCTGAATGATGTCACACATACCGTGTTGAAACGTATAAATAAATAGTTCATTATTTATTGTTCCCTTATTTGGACGATTGGCTGCAAATATAACATTCAAGAATATATATATATATATATATATATATATATATATATATATATATATTCGAGCATTGATCTATACTCCAATAACCAACCAGTAATCTAAACTCCAGTGCTGCAAATCGCAAGGGTTATTTACAAACATTTATTTAAAAATAGCTTATACTTATAATACGATATAGCACTCAAACACACCAAAGATTGAACATAAAAGTATGTTATATATAGATTTTGATATCTTTCATACAGGATATTAATATTTATAAACGATAATTAGTTTTGCTACATTTTTTCTAATCGAACAATATGCATGTTTTACTTCTATAAATACGACGATTGTTTTGAAAATATCGTTTGATTATTATTGGTAGACATTTGCGATAGGCCGTGTTTTAAAATAAACATTATCATATCATAATTACTTGTTAATCAAGATAACATCATTTAATTTCAACTTTATCTTATCACTGTTTTCATCATTTTTAAATAGAACATCAACGATTTAATATCTTTAAATATAAATCATATTATCTAATCACAACATCCGACATATATTATTTTAATTATACAAACAGTTAAACATTTTTTATTACGGTATCATATAGTCGATATATAAAACTAAATATATTAAACATCCTTTTGTAACTAACAACACAGTTCGCGGGTAATTTAAAAACGATTTTTATTAAAGAACCAATATTAGAATATTTTTATAAACCAATGATAGATATATTTTATTCTACTCCAAGTTATAAAAATATATCATTATTATATATATTTTATTTTATTGTGGACGTCAACTGCGATCAGTAGACAGCACCCAGAACGGATTATATGCGACGAGCACAGAGTCAGATTGGCAATTCCATTGCCAGCAATTTTGTGATATAAATAAATAAGGTCAAAGGTATGAATAACACTATTAATATTAAAAGAAAAGCACAAATATGTCTTTTAACTAGCTGTTTATTTTAGTCATTCAAGTTATTATTGAAATGTGGTCAACTGTGATCAGTAGGTACCGCACAGAACGGGTTATGTACGATGAAGTAAATAACACTAATAATATTAGAAGGGAAGCATAAATATGTCTTTTAACGAGCTGTTTATTTTAGTTAGATAATTTAAATGTCGACGTCAACTGTGATCAGTAGACACAGCGAACGGATTATACACGATGAGCACAGAGTCACCCTGGCAATAATATGGCCAGAAATTTTATGTTATAAATAAGGTCAAAGGTATGAATAACACTAATAATGATAAAGCACAACTGTTGATTTTAGTAATTCAAATTATTATTTAAATGTGGATATCAACTGTGATCAGTAGGCAACACACAGGACGGATTATATATGATGAGCACAGAGTCAGACTGGCAATAATATGGCCAGCAATTTTACGATATAAATTAGGTCAAAGGTATGAGTGCACTAATGATAAGAAAAATAAACCACAACTGTTGATTTTAGTAATTCAAATTATTATTTAAATGTAGACGTCAACTGTGATCAGTAGGCATCACACAGGACGGATTATGTACGATGAGCACAGAGTCAGACTGGCAATAATATGGCCAGCAATTTTACGATATAAAGAAGGTCAAAGGTATGAATAACACTAATGATAACAAAAAGAAAGCACAAGTATGTTTTTTACCGAGCTGTTGATTTTACTAATTGAAATTATGAATTTAAGCGAGTGAAGTTTCCGTTTATTGCGCATATCATCCATATCAAACATGCAAGAATTATACTTTCGTTTGTGATATTTTAAGCGGAACATTTTAAATGCGTATATTTACAGAATTGTATTGCGTTTAACGTCACGTGCATGGCACAGGTCCGTTTTAACTTATTTTCAGCCACTTCATAACATATATACCACAACGAGCATATATGAACAACTGGAAAATATTAATAATGGCATGAGAAACATGCAAAATATATTTATTCAGTTTGCATGCGTCTTCCATCCTATGCAAGCGGGGATTACCTCACTTTTCGTTTGCTTGCAAATTGCCATTTTGTTTAGCAATAAGTATCTTTGTCATGTTTACAACGACCGTTGTCAGCGTTTTCGGAATTGGCATGTTCTTTAGCAGCCGGTAAAACGATAATGGTTTATCAAACTTTTTGCCTTGAGCCGCGCCAATATAATCAAAAATATGAGGAAGCATCTATGAACAATTTCACACGTGCATACACACATAAAATGTATGGACATAGTAGTGTACAGCGTTGAAACTACGTAAAGAGTTTTGTTATAAAATAGCATTCTAGCGGAAATAAATATTTATAGATGAACGCGACGTATACGCTTGTAATGTACACATATAAGGCATCTAGAAATATGCATATGAAAATTAGGTATTTTGTTTGTATTTTATCCTGATATAAACTGAATTCCTTTCGTTTTTGTCGGGAAGTCGGGTGCGTCACAAATGGCAAAATACCTTGTTGACAATTTGACCAGGAACACAACGAGTAACAAAAGTATATGAACTAGAGTTGGGTAACTCACTACGAAGTTATATCCGTGAATATAACTCCTCCCTCGGAGTGAACCCTAACGGAATTGTATCGGAGATTTTGTCATATCCTACATCCCTGCTACTGAATATATAAACACGTATAAACATTTACTTGAGCTTTTTTCGAACAAGTTTACGGGATGATATATCTACTGAGACCTCTCTTGAACCACAACAGCCCCATGAGCGTGAAGAACAAGCGGACACTTTAATTGACATTAATACGCCGCTCCTCTATAGAACGCGGCAATAAGACTAACTTACAAAAACTACAGAGTATACAAAATAAAGCCCTACGACCAGTACTCGACAAATCAAGAGGCCCACTGACCAGACACTATTACTCTGCAAAATACATACATGAACCGACTGACGTGCGAATAGTAATCGACTAAATTAAAAAGCTCACTGGCAACTTTTACCTAAAATGTTAGTAACAACACCATCTAGGCCCTTCCTACAAAAATTCCTAAGCGAAATAGTTTGGCGAGCAATAGACAAGCACGTCATGTCAAACTGTTGTCTGATCGACCCATTGCAGCAAAAATTTTTTTTTGAATATAACACTGTATCAACCAAGCATTGTCTATGACAATGTATTGCGTCAATTTTTCTCCTTCCTTATACATTGTTGATTATGCCTCATTTATTATTATTTTTTTAACACAAAGATGTCATTTTTTTTTGCTAACAGTTTTTTTTTGTTATATATAGATCTTATTATATTCACTCACTAAAAGTAGAAACATTTAGAAATGTAAAATATCCTTAGGGTAGAAAAAGATGAAGATAATTATATATATTGCATCATATTTGCCTGAGATTTTTTACTAATTTAAAGATTTGCATCAAAAGAAGCGGTGGCTTTTTTTTCTCACTGGCAATTTTATGACTTTATAGGTACAAAATGACCAAAAATAATGCCATATTGCCTAGAGTAAAAGAGTTACCCTGATATTTCAATATTTTTATTGTCTCAATTTCGAAATATAGTTTGAGATTTGAATGCAAATTGAAATGCATAAAATAGTAAGGTGACACTATTTTTTTAAGCCAAAACCGGAACGGCAATTTGTAGTTTTCCTAATCCGGGATAGAGAAACGGGGGAACCCCAATTGTAACAATTGTAACATAATATATATTATTTTCAGATTTTTTATGGGTAGTTGGAATTTTATCATCAAGTATAATTGCGAAGATTCAAAAAAAACCTATATTTTTCAGAAACCCGGGACAATCCAGGACAAAAGATCTAAATCCGGGACAAATATTGTTTTTAGAAAAATCCAGTACACAAGGTGCAAATCCGGAACTGTCCCGGCCAAGCCGGGGCGTATGGTCAACATCAAAATAGTATTTTTTATATTAATATTTTTTTAAATTAAGCACAATGTACATATGTATAACTAAGATTTTCTGTATTGTATACATGAAGGTTTGAAAGGAAGTATTGTATATGTAGAGGTGAATGTATATTTATATACATTCAAGCAAAGATATTAATATAAATCCCTTTAAGATAGTTATAAAGATGTAAAATTCTACTTTGTTGGTATTAAGATTGCTGTGATCTTTCACTCCAGAATAATTGTCTGACTGAGATATTGTATTTTATCTAATAAATATAAATAAAAATAAAAATAATGGTGCATGGCATTAAGCCAAATTGCTGGAACTTCCCGTACCAAGAAGAAACAAAGATTCAATTTTTTTTAGAAATTTGAAAAATTACTTTTTGATTTTTTTTATACTTTGAAATATTTTGGAAATTATGAACTTTTTTCAAAGTATAACGGATAAACATAGGTACGGAACCAATAAAAATGTAAGCAAAATTTGTGCTTATTATTAAAATATTCATGAAATATGTGATAATTTGATGTGCATATATGTAATGATCATTTTTGTCCATTTTTTCACTTTCTTTATTAGATCTATGAAACAGCTAGACCTGCCGTTGCCTAAAACTAATCGGCACGTCTCCTTATCAATACGAATCGAATGTTTTTTTAATTATTCAAATCGGTTGATCTGTGTTCCCGAAATCATCGACAAAAATTTGTATCCGCACATACACACACAACATCCATTTTTTCTAAGGTATGCCAAAATGTTCAGAATTCTTTCAAACGTTAAGATATATAAAAACTTTCATTTTTGATTTTTTTGCGATTACTATAACTTTCAACGGAAACTTAATAAAAACTGTTTGTGAACGATTTTCACTATAGAACTATAAAACTATAGAGCACATTTGTGTCGAGTATTGGTTTCGAAGTTGTGGAGTTATTAAGTCCTAACTGAACCAAATCCTAACCGATCCGTCCTCTATGAACTATAATACAATAATTTTCTCAGAGAGAGAAAACGACGACAAAATAAGAAAGTATATTGTGAACCTATGTAGTACCGTGCTCACGAGTCTGAAAAGAACGTTGGGTCTGCAATAGTATTGTACCGTCATGCAAACAATATTACGTAGACCAACGGCTTGTCGACAACAGTACCTCTCTTTCCTAACTCTTCCTGATTTTAACAACAGAGTAAAGAGCAGAACTAGTATAATGAAAATATTTGTGAAATCTTTCGTTCGAAAAATATATTTCCTTGCATGACGTGACCATCGAGCGGCCGCGAAGCTTCTTAGTCGATTCACAAATTAATGCGTGGGTTTTTGATGAGTTTATCAAATGCCGGCAAGGAAACACGCCTGAGTGCGCGTTGTGATTCGAGCATCTTTGATGCCTTAGTTTGATGCTTTTCTTAGAAGACTCCACAGCAACCGTGCCGGGTCATAGCACTAGTGTAGTCTCGGGCTGTACACCACTGTACACCTTCCACACGAGCGCACCGGCGGCCAGCGTCACCCGGTGTTGCCGGCGTCCAGCACCGGCGGCTCGACTTTTCTTCTTCAAATCTAAATTAAACAAGCACACATCCATCCATGTATATACAATATAAAATTCGACTGTATACATAACCAAAAGCATAAATAGACACAAAACTTACAATGTGTTTAGTAAAATAAATTGTGCGCTCATGCACACACACATATACACATACATACACACATACAGAAACACATACATCTACAATTTATTTACTTTATATGATATCACGAAATAAAAATATTTGCTTTGTTCATTTGTCATCGATGTTTTTGTTGCAAATTTGTTAGATTTACGGAGACACATACAAATTATTATTTTTAATGTGCTTTAGAACATCTAATACTAACGCTGATTTTTTTTTATTATATTATATTTTTAACAGCAATCAGAACTTTATGTCCTATGAGCTGTTGGGCTGAAACTTCTCCTCACTTCGTATTTTTAGATGGTAACCCAATGGTTAATCCATCCATATTTGATGATTTTTGTTATTAGAATTAATCTAATAGGGCTGACTTTTTATTGGTGCAGCAATGCCGGGCATGGGCCATTTTCACTTGGAAACATATTGCTATCTATATTTCTAAGTGAAAATCGTTGTCACTGCTGCCTGACAACAGGCTGCTCGAAGTGGGTATCGAACCCGGGACCTCTGAAACAAGTCCCGTCGCTCTTAACCGCTTACCTACGGGCGAACCCTCTGATATTTTTAGCTACCCGTATGGTAGGTTATAGTAATCGCAAATAATCGAAAATGATAATTTTTATATATCTTGAACGTTTCACAGTTTTCTGAACATTTTGACGTACCTTACAATAAATGAATACATATGTGTGTGTTTGTGTACTATCTATGTATGTATATGCGGATACAAATTTTTGTCGACGATTTCGAGAGCACAGATCAACCGATTTGAATGATTCCAAAAACATTCGATTGCTATTGATAGGGACAAGTGCCAATTATTTTTTTGGCTAAGGCAGGTTTAGCCGTTACGAAGATACGTGGCAAAAAGTGCAAAAATGACAAATCAGTTCTTGATTCGAATGATTCAAATAGATTTTTACTGGTATTGACAGACTAAATTTTATTGAAGCAGGTCTAGCGGCTTCGAGATCCGAAACAAAAATGCCATTTGGCCTTCAAAAATTATTATCAGACATCAAATTATAAGATGCTTTATAGAAATTTTAATAATGAGCACAAATTTGATATACATTTCTATGGGTTCCGTAACAGGATTTAAAATGTTTAACTGTTAGACCGCAACGCGGCGCTTACGCGCTTCGATATTTTGGAACCGATTCTGCCGCATAACAGACCAATGTTATCGCAAGGCTACGTTATGAAGAACTTTCCATACAAATTCGTTTTAAATATTGACAAAACCTATGCGGTTGCTGTGCAGTCAGGCGATTTTCTCAGGTTGTCGGATAGAAAACAAACCTAGAAACCGCATAAATGTCAAAAAACGATGTTAGATAACAGGGTCTTTCTGACTCAGATTCATAACATACGAGTGACGTAGTTTATATATAAAACGCCTGAATGCACAGCAAATGCATGACATTTTGACAGTATTCAGTATGATTCAGTAGAATAATGTATGGAAGTTGGTCCCTTTATCTCTAAAACAATTTTTAAAAAGTTTGAAACTGTATATGAAGATACAACACAATATCACAAACTTTTTGTTATATCTGAAATGCTTTAATTTAAGGAAATATAAAGACGGAAGTCTTCAGCAGGTGTTGCTCTTTACTCCACAATTTATGCATATTAACACGTTAATCGCCACAATAATATCAAAAAAATTACCATGAGCCATGTTAACATTATAAGAAAATTTAGTGCATGATACTAAAATGCATCAAGAAAATTTGATGTAACAAAAAAAATTTTTTTGGCCGAACTCTTGAAAAAACACTATTTTTTATGACACACATATATGACTAATATGGCCCTATATTACAACTTTTTTTTCCTACAAAATCACCTGTCTGTCTGACATGGCTCATGTAAAATTTCTTAGCGTCAGACACATATGACTGACATGACGATTAACGCGTTAAAATCCTTTTATCTTTCTAATATATAAGGATACCAAATGTAATATATATGCTAGGCGAAAATATATTCTTATGTGTTTCAGCGTCATGTAAATTCATTTACATAATAAATATATTTATTATGTAAATTATTAGTGCATTTACTTTTATAAAATTTTGAAAAATTTTATACGGTGTTGTACGCCTAAGTTGGCTTAAAAATATAAATGAAAAATCTTCACGTAGTTATACCAAAAGCAAAAATAAGTCTATTAGTTTTGTGTATATATATACTTTTATAGAGCATATTTACTTTTATAAGATTTTGAAAAATTGTATGATTAAATTGGCTCAAAAATAAATCTAAAAAATCTTCATGCATATAAAATGCAAATAACTCTATTATTTTTGAGTCTGTTATCAAACTACCTCAATGGACAACTCCATTCCGGTAATTGCCTGTAGACAATTATATTACACTTAACCATATCATTAATTGTTTATAACCCGAGTACTTAAACTCAATACTCTATCTCACAAAACGTAGTCCGGGTCGATCACATTCTATTCCTGAATGAATTACAAAGTCACTAGAAGCTTCTAAAATCGTTCAACGATAATTCAAAAATTACCATCCAATGTACTTGTTTGCTACGTTTTATAAATTACCATAGAATACGATATGTAAGTGTATAAGTATAGATAACGCGCAAAGTATAATTTACATTGAATATGAATTATTAGCATATAACTTGCATTGATAATAAATTATTTGCATTGCGCATGGTCCCATGGTTACATACACACTGATATCGAATCGAGTGAATGATGGTAATGTGATAGAATAATGTAACAGAAACGTTTAAGGCCGTTTTATTTGTATGAACTTTCTAAAATGAATTAATTCTCGATAATCTTACTGGTTTCACAAGCGAGCACTGCGCGTGTTGCCGAGGAATTGATTACCTAAAAAAATATAGAGCGGCCATCTACCACGAATTCTTCGGAGGTAAGTTGTTTGCACGTTGGCTACACGGAGACCACAGGTGCGGTTCTTGTATCGGATGGACGGGAAAAAAACTACACATCAATTTTTTATCGTACTCCACAAGAGTGATGTTTTAAGGGTTTACACCACTGTAAAAAAAAAAACAACAAAAAATTTTTAGACTTAAAATATATTTTTAATCTCTTAGAATATGAAAAAAAATTCATACCTAAAACTTCCTTTAAGTTAGATTCACCATACCACATACAGCTGATGAATATTTCTGACAAAATACCAGATCAAGCTTATATACATCGTTATATCTGTAAAAAATGTACCCAATTTAAATTTA